CTAATTTTTGCTGAAATACGTGATGTATATAAGAGTCTAATTTTTAGGAAGTCCCAGTAATCTATTTTGTCTTCTACGGTTTGTATGTTGTCAGTTATATTTGATAGTGTATTTCTGTCATGTATCAGAGCCCCTAAGTTTGTTCCTATTTTTTCACTGATGATCTTTATAGTCCTAGGTTTCACATTTAGGTCTTTGATACACATTGAATTCATTTTTTTGTATACAATGTTAGATATGGGTCTTGTTTTGTTCTTTTGAAAATGGAATTCCAGTTTTGCCAGCACCATTTGTTGAAGAATAAACAAACATAAACAATGAAAATAAAGATAAATGAAAAACCAGTACAGTTGTTGGATATAGAAAGGAGTAAATTTTGGGGGCTCTTGCCAGCCCAGGAACTCATAAGGTGGGTGGAAGAGGGATGTGAAGGCTGAGTTCCCAGCTGTAGATGGAATTCACTAGAGGCCTAGGTGCTGTTTATGTTTAGGGCACCAAATCTGGAAGTAGTTCATGAAGGCCCTTCAAGTTGCTAGCATCAGTGTTGGTCAGACCCAGAGGGCAGCTGGGGCAGTGACTGATGATGAATATTCCTGCTAGTCTAATTCTGACCTGGAGGCTCTTGGTTCTATAGAGCTGGAGCAGAGCCCTCGTGATCCAGGAGCTAACGTGGCTTAGCAGGCACATGCCTCACACAGGTTTAAACTGCCAAGGTCTGAACTGGAAAGCAGGGTTTGTACTGGGAGTAGATGAAGATAGGGACCAGCCTCACCTTAGTTATCCAGGGGACTGAAGGGAGCAAGAAGGAATCACATCTTTTCAATCACTCATGTGAATCTCTGCCTTCAGACCACAATCTGTTAGTCTCACCAAAGCTGCTGTCAAAATTTCAAGTTGGCCACACCACCTCTGCTTGGCAGTCCATTCACCAGCCATTCTCCTTTCCATGACCCTGCTCAGATTCTCCTCCTAGTAGATATTGGATCTATTTCTTTAACCTTCCCTCTTATGCTCAGTGTTCCAGGATTGTCCTCCGTGTCTGTTTCATTAGTTCTCCCATATCTTTGTCATAGAGGGTCTGTTTAGCATGTCTGCCTCATCTGCCATCTTGCCAAAGTCCCTTTATCCCTTTTTAAAAATCTTTTAAAATATGGTTTTATTTTATATCACTTGTAAATAAAACATGCATTACATTTTTATGTGTTGGAAATAATTTACAGTCATTTGTGTCTTTATTCCTATATAATTTATAACAATTATAAATATAAGTCTATCCACCGTAAGCCTTTAATCTCAATAGATCTAATTTTATTTATGAATCAGTTGATTTTTATATAACAGAAATCATTTTTCCTTAATGTTCAGTTAAGTCAGTTTGTTGCTGTTATGTTAAGTGCCCTTGAGTTGGTTTAAATTTACAGTTATCTATAATCAATGAGTTTGAACTACTGACCATGTGGCTAGCAGTCCAGGACTTATCCTACAGTGCCACACCAGCACTTCAAAAAGGAAGGAATATAGGGGCATGTATTTTTTTCTGCAAAGTACATCATATCTTTAATTTGTATGTAAGGTTCAAACCCACCAACTGCTCCTTTGAAACCCGATGCCGGGTTGCTGTGAGTCAGAACTGACTCAACATCACTTAAGAACCACAACATTCATGTTTAATTCTAATTAATAAAATGTCTGTATTGTCCTTTAGCAATACTAGCACATCTTTTTACATAATTGTTGGTGTTCTTTAGCATTTTATAATTTGGTTATAATCTAGATTACAAGGATACTTCAAAAAGTTTGTGGAACAATGGGATGAAAAGATCATGGATATTTTCCACAAACTTTTTGAAACCCCCTCGTACACAACTAAGGAGCTCTGGTAGCGTAGTAGTTACGAATCGGGCTGCGAACTGCAAGGTCAGTAGTTTGAAACTACCAGCTGTTCCGCGGGAGAAAGATGAGGCTTTCTACTTCTGTAAAGATTTACAGCCTCGGAAACCCTGTGCAGGGTCGCTATGAGTTGGCACCGACTCCATAGCACATAACAACAACAATAACATACACAGCTTATTTTACATAATGTTACTTTATATAGAAATATAATTATTACATAAGCATATTTTGCCATATTGACTTTTTAATGATTTCTAATTATTTTAAGTGGTACGTCATCCATTTGGAGAACGCTAATACCTATGCATTAATGTGTTAGAGCTAAGTAGAGATATGAATTTCCGGTATATTCAGTTGGAACATATTGACAGATATTTAAATATATCTAAGTTGTTGATCTTATTCATACGCTGTATTTTATGTATTGTCTGTAATGTAGGTGGAGATATAGTAAGTTCCAGCTGATTTTATCATCTTTGTAATGGCTGTGGATTCTCAGGTTTAAATGAAAGATTCTCCTCTGAATCTGAAAGCCAAAACAAGAAACTTCTTCTATCTATAGTTGGTCTCTCCTTCTCTGCTCTAGTCTCCCTCCTTTGATCTCTTGTAAGGTAGAATGCACTGCATGCCACACCCTTGGGAATCTCCATAAATCATGTCAGGGTGGTGACAGGATTAAGGGTGGTGTATCCTTAATCCTCTTATTTGTTTATCACATCAGATCACATCATGGGGGATAGCTACCCTTGAGAATCTTAACCCAGTCAAATGGACAAAAGCCTAAACTATCACAAGCATGTGATGTGGTATTTAAATATATGGTATGAGAGCTGTTAGACAATATCTAAATGTTTAACAAAATTAGCCAATATATGAACATTTATTAAATTTACAGGATATATCGGTTTATTCCAGCTTAAGAACCGACTTCCTTTGATTCTGTATTGTTGTTAGGCGCTGTTGAGTTAGTTCCAACTTATGGTGACTCTGTGCACAACAGAATGAACAACTGTCTAATCCTGTGCCATTGTCACAATTGTTCTGTGTGAGCCCATTGTTGCAGCTGTTGGCTCAGTCCATCTTCTTGAGGGTCTCCCTCTTTTTTGTTGACACTGCTAAGCATGATGCCTTTCTCCAGGGACTGGTCTTTGCTTATAATATGTCCAAGGTACTTGAGTCAATGTCTTACCATCCTTGCTTCTAAAGAGCATTCTGATTGTACTTCTTCCAACATGTTGTTGTTGTTGTTGAGTAACGTGGAGTTGGTTCCGACTCATAGCTACCCTGCACAGGGTTTCCGAGGCTGTAAATCTTTACAGGAGCAGAAAGCCTCATCTTTCTCTCACGAAACAACTGGTAGTTTCAAACTGCCGACCTTGAGGTTAGCAGCCCGATTAGTAACCACTGCGCTACCAGAACTCCAGTCCAAGATATATTCAATGTTCTTCACCAACACTGTAATTCAAATGCATCAATTCTTCTTCAGACTTTCATATTCATTGTCTAGCTTTAACATGCATATGAGGTGAGTAACAATACCATGCTTTAGGTCAGGTGCACCTTAGTCTTCAAAGTGACATCTTTGCTTTTCAATATTTTAAAAATTTTTTGAAGTTTTTATTGTGAATTTTGAGTCATAGTTTACATAGGAGAACATCAGTTTTACACTCATCGTATTATATTTTATTTCATTGCAATGACTAAAATCCCCTCCATGCATCAGCATTCAGCAGTATTTGCTTCTATTCCCTCTGGGTTTTTTTTTGTTGTTGTTGTTGTTTTGTGAATGTACACAGAAACACTCAGGAGTATATAATTTAAACAACCAAATGGCACATTCTGCAAGCCTGCCTCTTGGCTGCCAGCACACAGCCTTTCTTCTTCCCTGAGTCTGGAGTCCTCAGCTGCTCCATCTCTCCATGTCATCATCTCTGCCTCCATCTCTGGTGTCACTGCTTCTCTGGATTGGGTCCCACATTCCACTCGTGCTCTTCAACCTTGATGGTCTTAGGGGCTAGTCTTTTGAAGAAGATTTGCCCAATTCAATGTTACTTGATTTCTTGACTGCTACTTTCATGAAATTTCATAAGATTACAAAACTACAATTTTTCTAAGTTCTGGTAAGCCAAATACTTCAATTTTGGTATCCAGAACTCATAATTTTCTACGAGAAATTCTTTCTGTTTTTCTGGCCAGTACTGAGAATTATTTATTGTCTTACCTATTCATAAAAAAATCAAACAAACAACAAAACAACCCACTTAGAACTCTGGAGTATTAAGTCTTTGTTTGCTCCGAGAAAACAAGTGTTTAGAAAAGTGTTACTGTAAATATGATTATAGCAGTTTCCCAAAGCCAATAAAATAAGTATTTGGTCAGCTAATGAAAAATTAAATCAGTGCAATTAAGCAGCTAATGTGAAGACATGAATCAGAGTTTCAAAGCTACTAAGTACCACTTGCTCTCGTCATACAAGTTCAAGTGCTTTCTCTCATCAAGACTCAGCAATGTACTTTACTGCTCAAGGTAAACTCATTATGAATACGGATAATTCCAAATCTACAGTTTCCTGTTGAGTTCAGAAATGTTTCCTTGAGGCACAGGTAGCACTTTTCATTTTATAAAAAGAAATCCATCTTTTCATTGATTTCTTTTTATAAAAGAGCCTACTCCTTTTCATGAAAAGAAAAGGAGTAGGGTAATTTGACCACTATCCAGAGCTGTTTTCCAGGAAAAAGATAGAGGATATTATAACAATATATATTTTCCTTATCTGTAGTTGGAATTAATCTGAATACAAATTAGATTCCTTAAGAGAAACATTTATAATGTAGGCCCAGACCTTCAGCTGAATAAACCTTTGGTCATTTTCCTTTATAACCATAACACATAAGACGAGTTCTCCATTGGGGCACTTTTTAAACTCCTTTATATGTGCATATCATACTTTATTATTTCTGAATCAAGATTACATGAGTGTCGGAAGCAGCGGCCTCGATTCTGTAACAAGGTGGGTGATTTGGGAGCTGGTAGGGTCGTGTTGGCCCTCAGGATCTCCGAGTAGCCACTGCCTTCTACTATCACCATGTTTCTCACCCGGTCTGAGTATGACAGGTCCGTGCGGCGGGGGGGGGCGGCTGAGCTGGGGTTTTAGGTGGGCAGGCCCGGCGCCAGGCCTCGGCCTGGGTTCTACCTTGTCATGGGGCGCCCCAGGAACCCGAGTGTGGCCCTGCCGGGGTATCTCTTGCCCTTCCCTCCGGAAACCTGGGATTGGGCAAATTAGCCGCACTTGCCCTACCACTGAGTCACCGCTGTGCCCTAATTAAGGAAGCTAGTTAACTGCGCCTTATGCATGGGGAAGAAGGCTGAGTTGCCTGGACCCCGAGCTTTAACCCCGAGGAGGCCGAGGGGGCGTGAATACTTTTTCTCCTGAAGGAAGATTATTTCAAGTGAAATATGCCATTGAACCTTTAAAGCTTGGTTCTACAGCCATTGGGATCCAGACAGCAGAGGGTGTGTGCCTAGCTGTGGAGAAGAGAATTACCTCCCTACTCATGGAGCCCAGCAGCATTGAGAAAATTGTAGAGATCGATGCTCACATAGGTTGTGCCATGAGTGGGCTAATTGCTGATGCCAAAACTTTAATTGATAAAGCCAGAGTGGAAACACAGAATCATTGGTTCACCTACAATGAAACAATGACAGTGGAGAGTGTGACCCAAGCTGTGTCCAGTCTGGCTTTACAGTTTGGAGAAGAAGACGCAGATCCAGGTGTCATGTCTCGTCCTTTTGGAGTAGCACTGCTGTTTGGAGGTGTAGATAAGAAAGGACCCCAGCTGTTTCATATGGACCCATCTGGAACCTTTGTACAGTGTGATGCTCGAGCAATTGGCTCTGCTTCAGAGGGTGCCCAGAGCTCCTTGCAAGAAGTTTACCACAAGTCAACAACACTGAAAGAAGCCATCAAATCTTCACTCATCATTCTCAAACAAATCATGGAAGAGAAGCTAAATGTAACTAATATAGAGCTAGCCACAGTGCAGCCTGGCCAGAATCTCCACATGTTCACAAAGGAAGAGCTAGCCACAGTGCAGCCTGGCCAGAATCTCCACATGTTCACAAAGGAAGAACTTGAAGAGGTTATCACGGACATTTAAGGAAGTGTGATCCTCAGAACTTCTCTGGGACAATTTCAGTTCTTCTAATTGCCCTCAAATTTTATTTCCAGCTCCTGTTCTTTGGGAAATCTCCAGTGTATGTTCATTTTTTTTTATGATGTAGGTACATAAAGGCAGTTCTGAAATAAAGAGAATTAAAAAAAAAAAAAAAGATTACATGAGTGTCTTTAGTATTTTTGTGACTGCATATGATATTTGTATGCAAAATGTAACTGGAAATTCTTTTTTAAAAGAATTTATAATTGGAGTACAACTGGAGAAAAATCTTACACCTAAGCAGATTGGTGCCACTCAGCAATCATTTCACATACACCCCTGGTTGACTTCTCTGCTTCTACATTAACACCCAGGTAACTACTCTCCTAATACTTCACTTCCAACATTCTTCCTTCACATTCACCCTTTTATCCATTTCACAGAGAAAATAGAAATATTAACTCATTCCCTCAAAAGTCACACCCTAACTATAATCGTATTTGTGCCCAATGTTAACTCTTCCTGTTCATCCTTAGAAGGGGAGGGACCTGTCCTGCAATTTAGGTTTATCCTGCCCTTGTTCTCCTACTTTGCCCTTCAGCTAAGGGTTGGCCCCCATCCTTCCTTCAGGCAGTCTCCATTGGCATTTTTCCCTTACCATATGAACATATCCAAATATTCATCTTGAAACAGCGTACTCATTTCATCAACCCTGAATCTTCTTCCAACTACTGCCCTTTCTTCTTCCACATTCAGAACCAGATTTTAAAAGGAAGTTTTATGATTGCTGTCTCCACAATTTTATTTATACTGAGAATCTGATTGATATTATTACCTTTGATTTCTTAATTACAAAATTTGGTGGATACCTTTTAGTTCTTATTTTATCTTGCCTCTCTTAGGTAGTTGAGATACTGCTAAACACTCTTACTTTTCACACTGGGTCTTTGCTTCTGTGACAATATTTCCTTTCAGTTTTTGCTCTTTCTTTCTGACCCATTTCTTCCAAATCTTTTTTCCAGCTCTTCTTTCTCTGTGTACTACTAAAAGTTGTTATTGTACAAGACCTTTTAGTCTTATCCATCACCACTTACTATCTATTGTCTGCCTACTTTTTTTTTCTTTTTTATGCTTTTATTATGAATTGAGTCATAGTTTACATGGGAGAACATCAGCTTTACATTCATTCTATTGTATTTTGTTTCATTGCAATGATTACAATCCCCTCTATGCATCACCAAACAACCAAAGGGTATACCCTGCAAGCTTGCCCCCTGGCCACCAGCACACAGCCCCTCTCCCTCCCTGAGTCCAGAGTCCCCAGCTGCTCCGTCTCTCCATGTCATCGTCTCTGCCTCCATCTCTGGTGTCACTGCTTCTCTGGATAGGGTCCTGCACTCTGCTCTTCTCCCTTTATGGTCCCAGAGTCCTCCACTCCTGGACTGTAAGATCAACCACTCCCCTCCTTTTGTTACAAAATGTCTACCTTTCCATTTGCAACACTCACAGTCAGTCCTGATAGTAGTTATTCACTATTGAACCGTAAGAGTCTTAGCCCCCACTCCTTTTACTAGCACCGTCCAGACAGGTTGGAAACCACTCAGTGGAGATTCTACCTTCCACTGCACCCTCTGGAACTAGGCTCCCTCTTGAAAGCTTGTAAGCCGGTTACTTTGTGCCTTTGTAGCCACACATCCCACCCCCACCCCCCCTTTGGGTAGCCAATGTCTAAGTTGCCCATACCTGTCAACCCTGTGTACCGAGGGGGTGGGAATGATCCTTGCTATAAAGATTCATTCCTTCTTTTGAGCTACTACATCCATAAGTATATTGTTGTTGTTGTTATGTGCTGTGGAGTCAGTTCTGACTCATAGCGACCCTGTAAAGGGTTTCAAGACTGTAAATCTTTACAGGAACAGAAAGCCTCATCTTTCTCCCACATAGCAGCTGGTAGTTTCGAACTGCTGACCATGAGATTAGCAGCCCGATTCATAACCACTACGCTACCAGAGCTCCTTACATCCATGAGTGTGTTGTTGTTGTTGTTGTTGTTGTTAAGTGCTGTTGAGTCTATTCCAACCCATAGCGACCCTGGACAGGGTTTTCAAGGAGCAGCTGGTGAGCTTGAACCACCAACCTTGCAGTTCAGACAGCTTTGCAATCTGGTGCATTAGCCCATAGCGCCACACCAGGACTCCATCCATAAGTATAGGTCAAGTTAACCAAATTGAAGCAGATTACTCTTTTTTCCTCCTCGTTCTTCCTCTAGTCAAGTTCTGGTCATCCAGTCATTGAAGCCAGGCCAAATGGGCACTCTCTCCAAGTATGGGTGTTCGTGTGCATCTCCCCTCACTTCATATCAGCTGGACACTTCACTCTCTGATCTAGTCCTCTGTGTGTCTGCCTACTTTTTGTTAGGCACTTGCCACAGATTATTCCTATTTTGTATAACACTGCTGAACAGTGGGGCTGATGTTGTTATGTGTTGTCCAGTCAATTCTGACTCATAGCGACCCTGGATAGGGAGTCTGAGGCTGTAAATCTTTATGGGAGCAGAAAATCCCATCTTTCTCCCAAGCTGGTGGATTCGAACTGCTGACCTAGCAGTTAGTAGCTCAATGCATAACCCACTAGTTAGAATTTAACACCAAATCAGTTTAATTCTAGAGTTTCATCATGATAATAGGTTTTTAAACGTTTTAAAAGATCAGAACTACAAAAAAAATTAAAATCTTACTGGAACTCCAGAATATAAAGCAGATGTAAACTGAACTACTCTGTTGTGATAGGGTGGCAGATTGACAGAGCCCTGACAGTTTGGCACTCCTCTCCATTTTGCCCCATAATGCCCAGGGGCACTTGCTCAAAACCCAAGGGTTCTGTGGGAAGTCAGTTAAAAAGGTACAACGATGTTTGTTAAAACCTAAATCCTAAGTCTATATATTTTTGAACTCAGAATTCAGCTGGATCCCGAACATTTCTATTTTTCTTCTTATGTGTCTGACAAGTAACTTATTCCCTTATGTTCCAAATGGAATTTATTATCTTCCTTATGAAACCTGCTTCAACTATTGTGGTAAAACTTTCTAGTTGAGCCAGTCTTCCAGGCCCAAGACTTACTAATAGTTAAGCATTTCTTTTCTATCCTATAAATAATTGGATCATGAGGGTTCTTAGAATTGTAGCCCCATTGTTCGTAGGTGTTGTCGAGTCAGTTCCAACTCATAATGACCCTGTGTACAACAGAACGCTGCCCAGACCTGTGCCATCCTCTCAGTCGTAACTGTGTTTGGCCCATTGTTGTAGCCACTGTGTCAGTCTATCTCCTTGAGGATCTTTCTTTTTCATTGACCCCTACTTTACCAAGCATGATGTCTTTCTCCAAGAACTGGACCCTCCTGATAATGTGTTCAAAGTACATGAGACATTCTCACCATTCACACTTCTAAGGAACATTCTGACTCACTTCTTCTAAGACAGATTTGTTTATTCTTTGGGACAGTCCATGCTATATTTAATATTTTCTCCAACACCATAATTCAAATATATCAATTCTTCGTGTGGCTTCTTATTCATTTTCCAGCTTTTGCATGCATATGAGACCATTGAACATACCATGAATTGGGTTAATGATATCTTTGCTTTTTAAAGCTTTAAAGATGTCTTTTGCAGAAGGTTTGCCTAATATAATACGTCATTGGATTTCTTGACTACTGCTTGCAAGGGTGTTGATTGTGGATTCAAGTAAAATGAAATCCTTAACAGCTTCATTCTTTTCCCTGTTTATTATGATGTTGTTTGTTGGTTCAATTGTGAGGATTTTTGTTCTCTTTGCATTGAAGTATAATCCATACTGAAGGCTATAGTCTTTGATCTTCATCAATAAGTACTTCAAAGTATCCTTGCTTTTAGCAATCATGATTGTGTCATCTGTATTTCACAGGTTGTTAATGATTCTTTCCCCAATTCTGATTCCATGTTCTTATTCATGTAGTCAGCTTCTTGGATTGTTTGTTCAGTATAAAGAGTAAGCATGATGAAAGGTTACAATCTTGATGCCTATCTTTCCTGCTTTTAAACCACACAGTATCCTCTTATTCTGTTGAAATGACTTTTTGTTGTTCTATGTAAAGGCTACACATGAACACATTTAAGTGTTCTGGAATTCTCATTCTTCACAATGTTTTCCATAATATTGGTATGAACTACACAATTGAATGGCTTCACATAGTCAATAGAGCACTGGTAAACATGTTTCTGATATTCTCCGCTTTCAGCCAAGATCCATGTCAGCAATGTTACCCTTCATTTGCATCCTCTTCTGAATCCAGCTTGAATTCCTGGCAGCTCACCGTCAATGTACTATTACAACCATTTGAAATCATCTTAAGCAGAATTTTACTTGTGTGTGATATTAATGATATTGTTAGATTATATACACCTTCTGTTGGATCACCATTCTTTGGATAGTCACAGATTTAGTCTCTTCTAGTCTGTTGGCCAAGTTGCTAGCTGTCTTCCAAATTTCTTGGCATCAGCGAGTGAATGCTTCCACCGTTGCATCTTTTTTTTTTGAAACATCACAATTGATACTATGTGAATTCCTGTATTCTTGTTTTTCTCCAACACCTTCAGTGCAGCTTGGACTTCTTCCTTCAATTCCATTAGTTCTTCATCATATACTTCTTCCTGAAGTGATTGAGTGTCTACCAATTCTTTTTGGTACAGTGATTCTGTGTATTTCACTTTGTGTATATCAACTTATATATTAGGTTTACTGTAAACATTTCTCTTGACTTCTCCAGGCTTCCAGTTCTTTTATATTTAAAAATGAATTATTTTCACGCCTTTCTTTCCAGTAGACTTCGTCATTCCCTTTGGGGACAAGGACTGTATTCTCATCTAGCATTTAGCATAGTACCTGATGTTGTGGTTGTTCAGTACTATCAAGTCTACTCTGACCCATAGCGACCCTCTCTAGAGGGTTTCCAAGGAGTACTTGG